TATTCGTTGAAAACCCACTAGACGGTGTTAATGGGAGACTTCAATGCAAAACTAGGCACACGAAAGAACGGTGAGCTGAAGGTAGGAAAATTTGGAATAGGGCAATGGAACCCAAAGGGCCAGTAGCTGGCCGACTCTTTATAATGAACTCTTTCTTCCAGAAGCGGCCCCACAGGAAGTGGACCTAGTCGAGCCCAGACGATTCGACAAAAAATGAGATTGACTTCATTATGACGGCCAGACGACAACTGTTCAGTGACGTCTCAGTGATCGCGAGGGTGAAAACTAGTAGCGATCACCGAATGGTTAGAAGCACACTGAACCTAAACGTTAAGTTGGACAGATCTCGTCTAATGAAGTCAACGCTTCGTCCCCCTCGTGCTCTAGTCAAAAGTCCCGAAACCTTTTCAGCTCGAGTTTCAAAACAGTTTTCAGTGCCTAGAAGACTGCAATGAAGTGGATGATATGAATGACAAGCTCGTGGAAACTGTCCATGCGGTCGGAGCAAAATTCTGCAAGACCCGCCGCAGAAGAACAAAAAAACTCTCCGATCACACTCTTAATCTCATGGCTGTTAGACGTTGAAATGAAGCTACAATCTTCAACAGATTTGACCTCCAAATGCATGTGGCGGGACTTACGCAACTTCAATACAGCTTGTATTGAAGTAGCGATCGAGCGGAACCAAAGTCTTTGCCAGAGATATCTCTGCCAGAAAGAGCCAACAACAACAGCTGAAGACCGGATTCGGCAGCATGGTTTCCGAAACGCGTGAGATTTTGAGTAAGATTGAGAGGTTCTATGGGCAGCTGTACACGTCATCGTTGGAGCCACACGCAAGTGTGAGTAAAGATCCAAGAGTGAGTATTATCCGACACTATTTCAAAGATATTCCGGACGTCAATCTGAGCGAGTTTAGAATGGCTCTCCAGCACCTTAAAAACGGCAAGGCCCCAGGTGAGGATGGAATTACAGCGGAGATTCTGAAAGAGGGTGGAAAACCGGTACTTGAAGTCCTTCAGAAGCTCTTTAATTCCGTCCTCCATGGTGGCACTACTCCGTAGGCGTGGAGCAGAAGTGCGGTGGTCTTGTTCTTCAAGAAAGGCGACAATGCTCTTTTGAAGAACTACAGACCTATCTCCCTTCTGAGCTGCGTCTACGTGCTCAAGCTACTGGACTGGAAAGGATATGGTATTGACATCAATGGCGAGTACATCACTCACCTTTGATTTGCCGACAATATATTCCTTTTGGTAGAATCGCTGGAGGACCTAAGCACTATGCTCAAAGACCTCAACAGTGTCTCCCAATGCATAGGTCTTAAGATGAACATGGACAAAACAAAGATCATGTTTAATGTCCATGTCACACCTATGCCGGTAGTTGTTGGGAGCGCTAAGCTCGAAGTTGTTGACGAGTATGTTTACCTGGGACAAATAGTCCGACTAGGTAAGTCCAACTTCGACCGAGAGGTCAATCGACGGATTCAACTCGGCTGGGCAGCGTTCGGGAAACTACGACACATCTTCTCGTTAGACATACCTCAAAACCTGAAAACGAGATTGTACAACCAGTGCGTGTTGCCAGTGATGACTTATGGATCTTAGACGTGGTCCTTCACTGCTGGCCGTATGAGGACGCTCAAGGTCGCTCAGCCAGCTATGGAGAGGGCTATGCTCGGTGTTTCTCTGCGTGATAAGCTTAAAAATGAGGATATCCGAAGTAGAACCAGAGTAACGGACATAGCCCAACGGATTAGTAAGCTGAAGTGGCAATGGGCCGGTCATATAGCTCGAAGAACCGACAAGCGATGGGGAAGAAAGTTTCTCGAGTGGCAGCCTCGTACCGGTAGGCGAAGTGCGGGGCGATGGAGTGACGACCTGGTACGACATGCAGGAAATCGATGGATGCAGGTGGCTCAGGACCGTGCTTTGTGACATTCCTTGGGGGTGGCCTATGTTCAGCAGTGGACTTATGAAGGGCTGTAATGATGATGATATAAAAATTTATTATCATAGGTTTTATTCTTCTACTCATAAACCAACAACCCCGAACTCAAATTGTTCATGATACAAAGTTTATCATCACACCTATTTATTACAATGGTTACGAACAGTAAAAAAAACTTGTATTATTCAAAACATTTAATCAATTATAAATTAAATAAGCATTACAATATCATACATTAATTAAACAAGTCTATACATACAAGAATAAATAATTTCGTAAGGTCAATTTAAAAATTTCATCACAGAATGTTGGAAGACTTAATTTTACAATTTGTTGGACATGCAGCAGACTATGTAGGAGTTTAGATATTTTATGTTGTGGTTGCATATTAGATTTTACTGAGAGTTGTAAGCTGTTGTGCACAAAGTTTTTATATCAAGCGTAAGAATGTATATTATGTGTAATAAGACAATACATTCATTGGAGATCGAAACATACGAGGGTGACACTGAAAGTTCTTAGAAAATGAAAAACTGAACAAATTGTGTCCATTTACATCAATACATCGCTGCATCCGATGGAACCACTGAGAAAAGCGCTTTGCTCACTGTTCCTTAGGGGTCGGCATTTTGAACGCAGCCACTGCTTCCTTGGCGTCCATAAAACATTTTCCTCGAAGTTTTTCTTTTATGTTCGTAAATAGATAAAAATCGCAAGATGCGAGGTCGGGGCTATAGGGCGGGTGACCCAGTAATTCCACGTCTGACGTCGCCAAGTAATCGATTGTTTGCTTGGCGGTGTGCGACGAGGCGTTGTCGTGGTGAATGAGGATCTTACTGCGAGATCGTTTCTCCCGAACTTTTTCCAAGACAAGTGGCAAACAATTGTTAGTGTATCACTCTGCAGTAACCGATCCTCTAAAACAATTGTTGCGTAATGACCTGTCCTTCCGAAGAACGAGGCCACCATCTTTTTTTCCTATGCTTCAACCTCTCTTCACTTTAGTTGGCAACTCCTCGGAAGGAAACATCCAGACAGCAGACTGTCTCTTAGTTTCAGGATCATAACAATCCAATAAATCTAGCTTTCGTCACCCGTAAGTATGTCGAACACAGCATTTGAATCACCTCCGTTAAATCTTTGAACCACTTCACGACACCAATAACCACGACGTAGTTTTTGGGCCTCTGTCAAATTATGCGGTACCCACCGGGCACTACAAAGCTCCCTGACCGCTATATGTTCATGGAAGACTTTGTTCACTTGACTTATACCAATGCCTAAGCTTGTCCGAATCTGCTGATAAGTCACTCTTTTGTCAGTCTCTATCATACGCCGCACAACACTGATGTTATCTTCAGTCGTCGCCGTAGAAGGCCGTCCCTCACATAGATCATCGGTGAGATCTGTGCGACCACGTTTAAACTCATTAAAACCAGTTGTAAACAGTGACACGAGATGGGGCTTCATCGTGAAAGGCCAATCGAAGTCTATCATAACTTTTTTGTTGACTTAAATGACATCGAAAGTCATAAAAAATCATTTTACGAAAATTTTCTCGCGTTTAATTCATGCTGACGTGACACAGACAAACAGATTTTCATTTGCCGCCAAATCGTAAACAAATGACAAATTAATAAAATACAAATTAACAATAATATTCATAAAAAGTTCCATTTTCAAAATATGAAATTATTTTTTACCATATCGTTTACAAGTGGCCAGTTCTAAAAACTTTCAGTGTCGATCCGTCCATCTATCGATAAATAGTAAAACTACTGGCATCGTTCTATATCGATAGTGCAATGTAGTTTAACTACCTTGACGATAGATTGCGGCCTGTTCACAAAATGATTATAAAAACTATAAAAATAATATTTTGGCGATTAAAAATCTTTAGGACTAAATGCAAAACAAGTTTCAACACCTTCACCACACCACATTATTTTAGCAATACTGAGTTCTACATACCTTTATTTATAATTCTTTTGATTTTTCCAAAAGTATTTAATAAATTAGGTATAAAATTACTTAAAAATGATATGTGATGTCATCCATAGTATCAGAGTGTCTTTTTGAGTAGTTTTTACATGATAAAACTCAACATTTCATACTTCTTTTCTTAATATTTGATCTTCTTAAGATTTGCAATTTTTTGACACATAAGCGCTAAAGTCATTATGCAAGATATTTTCGACACATTAGAATAGGAAGAACGCTGACAGTATACTAACTAAAGCCACGCCCACTGTGACGACGTCAGGACTTAGTTAGAATCACAGTGCACAGTTGCTTTGGCAGTCTTCTCTTTGTATTTGCTCTGTGATAGTGTGTTTGTTTATCACTTTCTATGAAAAAAAGTTCTGATGAGGTGGTTTGATTTTCTTATGTTGTTAACATAATGAAGGTAAATGGTATGATATAGTGTTGGCCAGTACCTAGGTCGAATATTGCACGTAATTATTTTTATGGATGATAAGTCATTTTTTTAATCTCAATGTCTATGCGTTATTTATGTTATGTAAAATTATTAAGTTAAAGTCAAAGTTACATATGTTTTTCTTTTGCAAAATTGGATTTTACAAAGGGCTTTTTAAAATTAAATTTATATAATTGTTTTAAATTTTTTTTTTATGTGAGGAGACTTTTGGAGAAGAAGTGCTAATAAACAATAGCAACATTTATAATGTGGTCCCAGGTCCGCGCGAAAATCGAGCCCGCATTCTTTAGTGTTGCATTTATATGTGCAGCTCATGCGCACTGGGGCGCTATTAGCTCAACATTAGTAATTTGTACTGTGCATTGCATAAGTAGGTGCCTAGTTGGATGGTGCGCACATTCGTGCTTCAAGTTGCGTACATATGCATATGCGTGTTTATGTGTGTGTACGCGTTAGAGACGCGCGGGCATTTCGTCGGAATTGTGTGCATAGTGTGTGCGTGTGGGTGTGTATGTGTGCGTGTGTAAAAATAAGCGTGCTAGAAGCACGCGGCAAAGTTTCCAGGTCCGTTGCGCGCGCGTGCATGTGTGTGCGTTTGTATGTGTGAGCACTAGAAGCGCGCGGCGAGCCCGCCGGCGCGCGCGTCGGCGTGTGACAGCAGCGCGTCGGCGCGCTGCTGCACCAGGTTAACGGGCGCGGCACCGCGCAGCGCGGGCCGGCGCGGAGCCCGCACGCCGGCCGCCGGCGCCACGCCGCCCGCCCACTGCGCCGCGCACTGCGCCAACGCACTCCACGACCCCGCGCCCACCACGTACCGCGTGCCTGCAACCACACCCGCTACTTAAAAAACATGGTTGTGTTGTAAGCACAGCAGTGTGTTTTACCTAACAAAACGACCTAAAATGGTGGCGCTTCTCCCTTCGCCGCGCGCGCCTCGTCAAAGTCCTCACTCAATGTAACGAGTTCTTTAACCCTTTTACTAACGAGAAGTGTAATTAAATTTTGGATGTTATCGAATTGATCGAATTAAATCTGAATTGCGTCCCACTATGAAAGTAACTTTAAACACGTATTCAAATCAAAATCAAAATAAATATTCATCGGACAACAGTGACCCATAAATGTTAGTAACAAAAAACACATCACTTAAGTTAGCACTTAACAAATAAATTTTTTTTGAAAAATTTGGCACATATGCTCGATTAGGTGACAGTTCCCACTGTCCCCAATACCTTGCAGGACATTATTACGACTACCACGAACACGCCTTAATAGTAAGCTTGCTTTTTTCGCACTATGATTAGGAAACTGATTAGGCAAACATACATAGTACAGCCACGCTTCAACTATAATATGCTTGTACCACAAATAACTCTGCTCCACCGAAAAAGGACTACCGTTCACACAGAATACCAGCGTAAAATAACGTCCTGAGTTCAAACATCGAATTCACATCCAACATTAAATTGCGAAATAACTTTAGCTTTTCAAAGGCTAAATTTCTTAACTCATTCTTAAACTCACATCTCTAAGTGTAGAGCCAGACTATATTTTGATGTAAGGTTTATGATTTAAGGCGGACGAATATACATATTTAACGGTGTAATAGTGTATTATAAATTTATTTACGTAGAAGAAACTTTAAAATGGTAACTTAATCCGCTGTGTGCAATAAAGTATCAACAATGTTATAAACATAAAGCGTTCACAACAATTATGCAAGAAGCAAGAAGCGATCAAGCAAGAAGCCATCTGAAACGTCTAACTATCAAGGACGAGTTTTATATCCTTACGCAGGAGTATAAGGATACGTGGATCTGCCCGGAATGCGTATGTATTATTCCGAAGAAGGATAACACCGGAACACCGATAAGTTGCAATGTTATTATGAACAAAACATTTACACCAAATAATTTCGTAAAAACGAACGTAGCGGGACTCGTAAAAAATCCAAGGAAATAATGGTTTCATCTATTGAAAATAAACTTCTTGACGAATTGAGGGAGTTGAGAAGAGAAATGAACATAAAAATCGATGAACAAAATAAGGAATATGCAATATTAGAATATACCATGGTGCCATGAAACAGACAAATGTTTTGAGTTGCAAATCCAGCCTATCAAGGGATGAAATCATCAACATCGATAAAGAAGACGAAAACGAAAGAAATTTAAACAGCGAAGAGATTGTTACGAACAATGAGAAAAATAATAGAGACTCTAATGTGAATTTAATCCAGGATCCAAGCGGAAAATTACCTACAAACAAATTTATAAAAATACGTTAAAAGCTTAACGAAGAGAAAATACAAGTAAAAATAGAGAAAATAAGACACATGACAAAGAGAGATTACACTTCCTACATTACTGAATTTCCGGGGTGTCATTATAAATGTGTAAACAAATATGTAAACCTAAAAGTTGGCCCGTAAACATTGAATTTTGCGAATGGACTTGATTTCACATGCATCATCATTATCATCATCACACATCATACCACAAAAAACAACAAAGATAAAAAAATCCAACAAATTAAAGCGATCTTACTTATCTTCACGCACAATCCCTGACGGGGTAGCCAGAGAGAACAGATCGCCAAGTGTCACGATCCTTACATATCTCTTTCGCTTCTTTCAGATTCATTATCTTCTTCATACATGCACGTCTAGGTATCCGAGTACTCTTGACCCTACCCTCTTCGAGCAATTTGCTCACATGGTCTTCGAAAGTTAGTCTCGGTCTACCTCAACACCTTTTAATATTAACTTTCGCGCTATATATTTTCTTCACCATTCGGTCTTCACTCATTCGCTCAACGTGCCCAAACCACCGAAGCACGCCCTTATCAATTTTTGTGATAAGGTCATCTTTCAAACCTGCCATATTGCGAATCTCTTCGTTTCGCTTTCGGTCGGCCATAGTAACGCCGCACATTTTACGAAGAGATCGCATCTCCACTGCATTCAACTTACTTTTATGCTTCTTCTGGCATACCCAGGTTTCGCTGCCATATAACAAAGTCGGTACCAACACTGCGTTATGTATTGCAAGGCGTGCACTCTTCGCTACGCCTTGCCTTTTGACTAACGCAGTCAGGGCACCATTGACTTTGTTCCCGGCAGCGACACGCCTGTCCACATCTAAATCACATCTTCCATCCCGGCTAAAAGCACTCCCCAAGTATACAATTTCATTTACCTGTTCTAGACATTCCTGATTTACCCATATTTCACACTTCGTTCTCTCTTCGTCCCTTTCAAATACCAGAACCTTAGTTTTATTAGCATTCAAACGGAGACCTTTAATTTCACATTCCTCTTTCATACACGTGACTAATGCCTGCAGTTCTGCCTCTGATGGTGCAATAAGCACTGCATCATCAGCATACAGCAGACAATTTACTTTTATGTCACCCAATTTCACACCCAAACAGCTATCTTTCAGCTTTTGTAAACAGCTGTCGAGATACAGTATGAACAGCCAGGAAGACATGACACAACCCTGTTTTACGCCCGTTTGGACGCTAAACATGGGTGACAGGTCATGCCCTACCCGCACACAGGCTTTACAGTCACAGTAAAGAGACTGCACAGCCCTTAGCAATCGGCCATCCACACCATACCCCGGCAACAGTTCCCACATTTTCTTCCTTACAACCTTATCAAATGCTTTCTCAAGATCCACAAAAGCACAGAAAATCTTCTGGTTAACAGCCAGAAGCTTTTCCGTGATCATACGGAGAGAAAACATTTGATAAGCGATCGTTAGATGTATTATCAAAATGTAAGAGGATTTAGGCCAAAAATCGAAGATATTTATACTGGCATATCATCGATGAAGGCTGACTTACATGCCATAACGGAAATAGGATGCAACCAATCTATTCAAGACACAGAGTTAATAAATAAATAAATAAATTCTCTTTATTTCAGGCACATTCTACCCATATTATATACCAACAAAAATGACAATACAGTAAAAATTACTAAAAAAAAAATATAATATCTAAGTCTAAATGGATGGAACCATCACGTAAAGCAGCTATCTTAAGTAATTTTTGATAAAAGGCAGTGGCCGGCAGTTTAACCTTTAACCCGTTTTATTTTACGTGATAGAACTATGCTGCAGCTATATTAGTAGTATAGTTGAAGCACGTATGGGTCGGCTCGACCGGAGAAGAACCACGCTCTCACAGAAAACCAGCGTAAAATAGCAGCTTAACGCTGCTGTTTCGTGTGGAGAGTAGAGAACCGGAGACACTTTTTACTGGCAAAGAGGCATTCCATCTTAGTCCTCACGGGAGCCCACGCATCTGCATCTTGAGTCTTTATTGAGGACAGATGTAGATGTCTATGGGTCACAGTAACCACTTACCATCAGGTGGACTGTGTGCTCGTTTGTCACCCTATCCTATAAAAAAACCGTCATTGTCATTCTATATCACTATCATTTATTAGAACAAGGTATTTGAACATTTGAACTATTTTAACAGGTTGTTCCGATACGCGCATCTCAAGCACATTAGCAGCCCTTACCCGTCTTAAAAATCACCATCTCCGTGTTTGCTAAACAATTGTAATGCTAAACAAATTAAATTATGGTCGTTAGCAAACTTTTCGCATATAGGTATTAATTTCCGCATGCCTTTGATTGTAGGGCTGAGCAGAACCATATCGTCAGCGTAACTTAGGTTGTTAACGTAACGGTTACCAAGCCCAAGTCCGACCGGGGTTCAGGTCAGCTAAAGAAGTCGGGTGAGATAAGCTCCCCTGCCTTACAGACAAACCTGACAGAGAGTCATCCCATTTAACATTATTAATCTGTCTCTTATACCAATAAGTGAGCAGGTCAACAATACCAACACGAACGTTATTAAATCTTGACTTTTTCGATGGTAGATAATGATTCAACGTATCGAAAGTGCGACTTAAATCAAGGAAGCAGACATTTACACTAGTATCGCGATCCACATAGTAATTTACTACCGGTTTTGAAGCAAAAATAGCCATATCAGTAGATAGCTCTGGTCGGAAACCAAATTGACTATCGTCAATAGACATGAAAGGTGTAATTTTGGCTTGAATCAAACGTTTAAATACCTTGACCACAACAGTGGCGAGAGATATAGGTCGGTAATTATACCTGCTCGCGAGATCTTCAGTCTTATATACGGAATCGGCACCGCAATAATACGTACCTAGTAAATTGTTCGGCAGGTATGAGTGGCGCATGCATAAATTAAATAATGCAGAGAGAAATACACAAATATACTGACCGGCATGCAATAGATAATTTATGTTCAAGTGGTGATATCCCGGAAACTTTCGCCTTTTCATGTTACGTAAGACGGATATCACATCCTCCTCCTTATCTAGGCAGTTTTCGATATCAGCCGAACACAAGATGTCTCTGTACTCAACAAGGTATGAATATGAGTAGTTAATTGAGATTTATCTTGCTCATTGTTCACATCAACATAAAAATTATTTAAAAAATAGATTAGCTATTTTTGTGTGATTCACCTCACCTTGGATACTAATGGGACAACTTGCTTTAGGATTTAACTGTTTGACCGTTCAAAATTGGCCAAATTTTTTCGATCTTAAATGTCGGGCCAATATATCTAATTTTATCTTGTCTTGATTGTTTCTAACGAATTAAAGTGCGGATTTAAACTCCTTACGAGCCGAAGACATTTCATTATAATAATAACCAGAAGATGGTTTACCATAAGCAACTCAGACACTAAACTTTAATCTAGCCTCAACATGTGGATGCCTCTCATGATAGTTCCAACCAATCAGAACTGCCTTTTTATGTCTT